AACATATTTGTATACCTAACCCTTAACTGTACCCCACAACATCATAATAAAAAATATTAATAAATAAATAAATAAATTTTAATCAATCTTGAAAAAAAGTTATAGAGCTCTTCTAAATGTTCATTAAACAATATAAAAACAATCACCTTTGTTAATATCATCTATCTCATCAGAAAAATCTTTTAAGTACTAAAAAGCTGTTAAGTTCATAGTAGCAAATAAAGTTTTTCAAAACTCTAAAAAAAATAAAATAAGATAAAATAAAAAGTAATTTTTTCTATTATTCCAACTTCTAAGACACATTATAAAAATAAGATGCTTAGTGAAAATCAACTAGACATATTAGTTGCTATTTTGTGATTTTAACCACTAGTGATATTACCATCTTACAGCATAATCAAGTATTGCAATTCTGAACAACAAAGAACCTGAGAAGTGTTAACTATGCTTTGATAAAAGATAGTCACGTAACTTTCAGAAAAAGTATTCTTCAATAAATTAGAGATAAAAAAGTCCAAAAGAATTTTCCTAAGCATGTAAGAAACTATCTACTGATTATTAAAATCTAATCAAAAATCTACCCTCACTTCTTGCAGACACTACTTTATTGAATTTCAGCTAAGCCAAATAAAATCTGTGTGCATGTGATATACTTATTAACAGGGGGGACCCAAAAAACCCAGGAATTTAATTATAAAAAATTGTGCATTTATTCTTACACATTTAAAATTTGGTCACTTTCAAAGTACTCTATATTTGATACACCTATTGAGATGCTCTTTTCCACTGCTCAAAACAGTTTTTGAACTTGTCAATTTTGATGCCTTTCAGTGCTTCTGATGTTTTTTGTTTCACCTCTTCCACATCAGCAAAATGTTTTCCTATGAGAATTTTTTCATCCGGGGAAGCCAAAAAAAGTCATCTGGGTGAGATCAGGTGAATAGGGAGGGTGGGGCCCAGGGGTGGGGCCCAGGGGTCATGCTGTTTTGGGTCAAAAACGGCTATACACTCAGCCCACTGTAGGCAGATGCACTCAAAAATCACCCATTATAAAAAGGGCAAACACATTGAATGAATCTCAAAAACTTTCACTGAAGTTGAATGCAGCCTCTCACAACAACACTAACTGGTGAACTGATGCCAAGGGGTTTTCAGAACACTTACCTAGTGGGGGAAGACTGTACTACAAGGGGTTCACTCTCCAACAACTAATTCCAGAGTTTTATTTTGGTACCCCACCACACACTCATCATGTATATACAAGTAGCATAAAGATTATAAGAATTAGAGAAGAAAAGAAGAAATAGAGCCTAGAAAGATAAAGATAAGTTTTCTCTTTTACTAGCTAACCTTTTCCAGTTTAAATTGATACATTAAATATAAACAAATAGTTCCCTTAAAGACAGAAGTCTAGATTCAGTAAGTCTAAGAATAAAGATAAAATACATATGGTCAATTTCTAGATATAATTTTATACAGCCTAGACAGTGAGGTCTCTTGAAGAATCTTCACATTCTTGTTAACTCTCCATTTTGCCTCCATTACAATAGATGTATAATATACACAGAAAGTGAGAGAGAGAGAATGCACAAACATGCAAGCACTCACCTATCCCTCTGCTCCTTCAGCAATGGCAGCTAGATAATTCTTGACTAGACCAAACCAAATTTTCTGAAATAACCAGTGGGTGTTTCCAAAAGCCCACAAACTATATACTTTGTTCCTCTAAAGCAAGAGTTTGTCATCCTTGTGGAATATTTAAAATAAAAACTATTCTAAATAACCCAAGTTTTTAAATCAATAATTGCATAGGATGATAATTTATACTATGTTCATTTAATAGAAATGATTTTATACCCAAGCTTTCTTACCTTAAGAACATTACCCTGATTAAAAACACCACCAGGCCAGGCGCAGTGGCTCAAGCCTGTAATCCCAGTACTTCAGGAGGCCAAGGCGAGAGGACTGCCTGAGCCCACATGTTCAAGACCAGCCTGGGCAACTTGGTGAGACCTCATCTCTACAATACAACAAAAAAATTAGCTGGGCGTGGTAGCGCATGCCTGTAGCTCCAGCTACTTGGAAGGCTGAGGTAGAAGGATCGCCTGAGCAATCGCCTGATGCTCGGGTGGCCATGAGCGTGCTACTGCACTCCATCCTGGGTGACAGAGTGAGACTTCAACACACACACACAAAAAAAAAAAAACCAACAAAAGAGAATTTGTTCTGAAGACACAAATAGTACTAATTTACTAATTATATCCAACCTGTTGATGATTGCAATGTTTGATGCAAGCTGTTTGGCAACTGAAGGGTGAACAAAGGTGAATGAATGCTACTTCTGAAGAAGTCTTCTGTTGCTTTAGACTGCAAAACCTTGGTTTCCCAGAGCTGCAGAAGAAAAAAATAAGTTTGACTTAAACATATATATATATTTATTAAGACATTTATATTTTTTAAGGTTTGCTTTAAAGTAAATTTTCAGTTGATGGCATAATGAATGGATAAGTACTAAACTATAATTGGAAGATTAGAACTATATCAATTTTATAAGCTGAAAAAACAACAAAATACAGGGAAAAGCCTGGTTCATGCCTGTAATCCTAACACTTTGGGAAGCTGAGATGAGAAGATCACTGGAGCCCAGGAGTATGAGACTAGCCTGGGAAATATAGCAAGACCTTGTGCCTAATAATAAAAATAAAAAGAAGAGAAAAGTTGTATTGGCTACAAACCTGCTTCAAGTCTTTTAAGACTTGTTCCTCTACACCTTCTTCAGCAAATAGATCCTGGACTCCATCAATTACATCTTCAATTATAGATCTGTAGAGTTTGGACTACATAAAAGCAATTGTTAAAGTTTCAACTTCTCAAGTTTGAATGCATTTAACCCTAAAAGATATGCAGTATACACTTTCTAATTGTGTAGTTTAAAGAAAAGTCACCATAAAAATTTTTACTAGCCGGGCTCGGTGGCTCAGCCTGTAATCCCGCGCCTTTAGGAGGCTGAGGTGAGTGAATTGCCTGAGTC